TGCATTTCCTACAAAACATATCTTTAAGGCGCTATGTTTTGATTTTCTGATACATCCATGGTAGGCATTACTAAAAGGAAGAGGAATTGTGAAGAAATGACCGAGGATGGCTCAGGATGAAAAAATTGGTGTAAAGTACTGATTTTTCAGGTTTCGTAAACTGTAATTTGGCCCTCAAGCAGGAAAAGCTCTTTGCTGTAAAGTTCTCTTTCCTGAAACCAACAGCGATACCGACCCTTTTAATCTCTAAAGAAGCATCCCCCCGGTTCATTGATTAATTGCGCTGGAACTGTTTCAAAGTTGTGTCACGATGAAACGGAATGTGATCGTTTCTGCACCTGGCTTTTGTGCTGGAGAAAAAGTCAGACGAATGAATATTTGATGCAGACAGTGGTCAAGAGTTTTCACAGGCCATTATCATTTGTGGATTGAAAATAAGCATGATTTGTGGGAGACCGATCAAAAATTCTGTTGATTGACATACTTTGGTCTCAGAAGAGGGTTAAGTTACGCGACACAGAACTCTGCGTGAGGATTACTTCCCGCTGTGAATAAAAACATGCCACTCACGTTTGTCATCTATTTAAACTTTGTTTAAAAATCCGCAGCTAACCTGGCTACTGAGCGTTTTAGTTTGTGTTTCCCTACATATCGTGAGGTTTTTCCTGACGTCCAATTATAAAACGGAACGAATGGCGAACCGCGTGGTAGTAGCGGAGCGAAAAAAACGGAAGGTTTGGGTTTCGGCCCCCGGCGCCTTTACTAGCGCGCCTTTTACTCTTTCGCTCCGTTTACACTGTAGTAACAGAATGCCTGGAACAATCTATTGAAAGCTGTGCACCTAAGAAGGCCGTGGAAGATTCGTTAATGTAACCAGTGCTGTATAAAAACTCCTTTTGGAACTTCACTTCCTTGTCAGATGAACGCACGGTTTGCGAAAGACAACCTCGTACAGGGCGATGGGAACGAGGTTGTACGAAAGAGGCATTCCCCTAATATCTTTCAGTGCCCAAGATTTAGTTGAATATCAATTCTTCAGACTATCCGCGATCCATTCGTTACAGATTAGCTCTGAGAATTTGGTGCTAAAATCAAACCATCTATCCTTATTGAAATGCTATCTTCTCATAACCTTTCTACAAATTAATTAGCATTTTAATAATTAGCAATATTAATAATTCGAGACAAGAAATTCTTTTGTGATCGGTCACTTGAGTAATTGAGGTAACTTTGACGAATTATTCGCTTGGGTAAACGAAAAATCGATGGGGAATATTGCTTTCTAAACTCTTTCAAACCCAAATGTCCCCTTTCCTTACAATTCAAAGACATCTTTCAGCAACTTCCCATGAAACAATAGACAGATTTATTTATCCGGATACAACACTAAAATCTTTAAACTAATTAACAGCTTATTTTTTTTCCTATTGGAGGCTACTGACAGTTAATCATCAGCTCTTGGCAGTAAGACGGCGATCCAGACCACAGGAATTATATAACACCAGCCAAAAGCTGAGGCTTGATGTACATATATAAATATATATCATTTTTGGCCCTGAGCTCTTAGATCTCTGGCTCGTGTTCACATATTTCTCACGACTTTTAACCTCGTTCCCAGGGTCCTCTCTCTTCCTCCCTGGAGAAAGTAGCAGAGAAAGAGAAAGGACCCTGGTAACGAGGTTGGAGAGCGCT